AATACCCGAACAAAACTGAATACCATATATATATAATAATCAAAAAATGTCATTCAAAAATCACCAATATTTGAATGCTTACCCCTCACAACATATCGTTATTAATCTTCAAATATTTTATATAAATATTTTACAGTATATTTATTGTTGACATGCAATGTTACTTCATATGTGACACTCTTATCAGATCAAAACAATTAAAAAATGCCAAAAAGTTTCCTACTGTTTATGTTCTGAGGCATAGTTTTACTGCAAGAGTTTATATTTAAAAAATCATGTAAATATTTGGATAGTAGTTTAAGCTAAAATATATCTGCACATACAATATGTATAGAGATTGTATAAGCTAAACTACAGAAATGACTTCTCTTCATTTGCAGCTTTCACTATGCATTGAAAATGTATTTACATAATTGAAGCATTTTTTAATTTGCAAAAGCTATGTGGAATCACGTGAAAAAAGATATGGTGCGTATGGTTAAAGAGACTCCTCACCTGTATTGTAGAGGCCAGGTCCTTCAAGACATTTAGTTGATTTTCATTCTCAAGTTTCACTCGAAATACTTTGTCACTTCAATAAAAGTAAAGCATAATTTAAAAAACATTACCATCAAATTAAGTTACAGTTTGTTCTATTTTCTTCCTCTCTTCATCTGATATATAGTTGTAAATCATTCCATCAGGCTTACACTACTATTCCAGATTGCATCTAATAGTTGCCTACATGCCTACATATTGTAATGAAGCTAGTAAAACCAATAACTTTGCTTTCAGGAAATAACCACAATGAGAAACATCTACCTGTCAAAGGAATGTGCGAGAAAACCTCCCAGAGATGTAAAAAGGAACCCTAGAAAGGTAAGAATGAACCTCATGATTCCACTTTGTCTGTAAAGCTAAATTCTTACTTCTTTTATATGCCTTTATATGCACCCAGAAGCAATCAGGTGACTTCCTCTAAAGCTTTCATTGGATACTATATTATGGCTTTTGAATTTGCCAGTTAATACACTTTTAGTCTTCCACTCATTATTACAAAATCTGAGCAATAAAAGTAACAAAGAAAAACTAAAACTCAATCAGATAAAAAATACCATTAAGTGTCAAGTTGTATGGTGGGAGATAAACAGCTCTGCAGGATACCTCAGCACATATTAGCTTAGAAAGGTGTAAGATAGAGATGAACAACATTTACATCATTTAAAAGAGACCACCAAAAAGCTAAAAAGAAAAGAAAAAAAGCAAAATACCTTGTCTCTTGCAATCAACACCCAGATAAGAAAGGATTAACATCAGCATTAGTATCAGACCAGCAATCAAGCAGTAAACAATACTCCAGTCAAGGAACTACCAACTCAGACAGTCAAACAGTAAACAACAATCTTATCAAAAACTACCAGGAAGAAAACAACACTCCTCCCAATACTGATAGAGAACATAAAAGACTCTACAGATAGGTGTGACCCAGAATGAATTTTGTAATGTTTTTGTGTTTTTAACTTTGTAAGCTGCTCAGAATCATATATGTGAGATGGACAGTAATAGAAATTTGCTAAATCTTATATACAGTATATAAAAGCCAAGTACCACTCACTCATCACAAAATCTCCAGAACCATAAAGCCTACAAACTTGAAATTTGGCATGTATGTTCCTCGTGGCTTCTAAGTGCTCGCTAAGAAAGGATTTTTCAAAATGACCACCAGATCATTAGTATTTCTTATACAGTAATTAACACACTAAGGAGTTCTATGCTAAGGATTTCTAACACTCTCCCCATCTGAAAAGAACTTTGTTCCAACTGCCAGTGCCTCACACTCCATTACCTCAGTTCAAACTGGTAGACATTCCACTCCTTCACTCAGGAGCGGTCTGGGGCTCCTTACAGTACTAAATGTTGGTACCTCACCAAAATGTCTATGTCTTCAATCTATGGAACTGCTTCCGAACTCAAGGTGGCGGGAGCGATATTCCCTTATGTGTTTCAATCACCGACCACCACTGAGCCAACAGGTTGTGAACTGTGTAGAGTTGTAATTGCAGGAATGTTCCAATCTCGGATGGCAAACCTCAGATAAAGAATGTTTCCAAGCAAATACAACTCAGGTAAACAAAGTCACTAATCTAAAGGAGGATTAGAGAGAGGAAGTAAACATATGTTAGACTTTAACTAGAGATAATTAATTGTATGGATTACTGTGCTAAACAGTAACGAAAGTTAAGCAGTAACCAAAGTTAACGAGTGATGGAGGATAACTAAAAATGTGTATAAATGCAAGACTAGACTCCAATAAAGATCATCATGATTCAGTTGTTCATGATCAAACAACTCGACTGCCTCGACATTACAACAGAACTGGATTTCTCCTGCATAGCCCGATCACTGCCAGTTGCCTCACATTCCATTACCTCAGTTCAAACTGGCAGACATTCCACTCCTTCACTCAGGAGTGGTCTGGGATCCTTACAGTACTAAACATCGGTACCTCACCAAAATGTTTACGCCTTCCACCTATGGAACTGCTTCCAGATATTAACATGCTCTGATACTCCCCATCCCCACCTGAAAATAACTCTGTTCCAACTGCCAGTTGCCTCACATTCTGTTAACCTCAGTTCAAACTGCCAGACATTCCACTCCTTCACTCAGGAGATGTCTGGGGCTCTTTACAGTATTAAACATTGGTCCTCACCAAAATGTCTATGTTTTCAACCTATGGAACTGCTTCTGATCTCAAGGCGACAGGAGAGATATTCCTTTATGAGTTTCAATCACCCACTACCACTCAGCCAATGGATTGTGAACCAAATTTCTGCTGCATAGTGTCCCAGCCTCAACTCATTTCTTACATTGACGTTCGATGAATCTGTTCCTTCTACTGTAACACCACAAAGGGAAAAAACACAGGAGAAGATTTACAGATGCGATTAGGAAAACACAAGTAAGGGAAACTGCAAAAAAGTATCATCCATGTTATCCCAAAGTCAATAGAAAGGCTGTAAAAAAGTATGCATCTAATAACTCTTATGTTAATCATGCAGCTACAGCTAAATACAATAAAAAGACATCACAAATCAGATCAATGCCTTGGACTAATAAGTATTAGTCTGGTTTTAAATATGAACCTCAGATTGATTACTCCAGGGAAAAGGTGGTTGATCTTGGACCTTAGTTACCCTGTGCCTGGTGGCATGCCCTAAAGTGGCAGGATGAGACTCCTGGGATGTGCTGCAGTGGCGGTAAAGTCCAGCTCCCTCCCCATGCGCCCTACACTGAACCCTTACACAGCCTTCTCACCCACCAGCATCCAATGGCAGAACACTTTCTTTCTGCTGCCCAGAAGAACAATGAATGCTTTCAAATAACATCTTTTGGAGCCAGCGAGGTGAATGAGGGAAATTTTATGCTAACATTCAAAGTGCAGGGGCAGGTCTACCACAGGAGGGGGGTATCATGGTGGGACCTCAGCAGCAGCCTTCATTTCTCCAGATATACTTTGTTGGTGATGATGACAATGAGAAGAACATCCGGTGTGGAATCTACCGGGCGTTAATCCAGAATTGGTTAGCCAATTGCAGAAGTTGCTGAGTGAACACAGCAAATATATTATAGATTTAATTGACACAAGCTTTAAATGTCAATTTATGAAGCCCGGTCATAACTACTCATTAATTTTCAAGCTTTATCAAAGCCAATCACATAGTTTTGTAGCGAAGCACGGGTATCCAGCTAGTAAACAAATAAAATTTCAGTTTACTTTAGCTCCATTTGCTGGCTACTTTATCCTAATGTGTGCTCCCATCCTAGCAAATGCTTCCTTTGACCGAAGGTAAGCCAACTCTTTGTGAGTGCATGGAGACAATTTGAGTTAATCCTGGAACTTTGTACCAGAAATGTCCCTATCTGGATTTCTGTGGATGTAATTTGGTTCAATTTGAGGCCAGAGTTTTGAATGAGATTTGGAGAAACAGAGCGTATATATGGCAATTTTGTTGTTTATGGGGAAAATAGGAGGATAAAGAAATTTTAGGTATGTCTTGAGTTATTAGGAGGATAAAGAAATTTTAGGTATGTCTTGAGTTATTTATACAAATAATAAAAATGAATATAACCATTTAATGAATAAAATGGAAATTCAGAACACCAGCTGCTTTTAAACTAAAGCATATACCTACAACATTAAGTAGGTGTTGAATGATTTCATAATATGTGGAGTCATATTGGATAATTTTGGAGAAATTCTACTACCCATGTGCTTTACATGATTTGCTTTCCCTTTTTCACATGTACAGGAGAGAAATATGTGGGAGAGACCATCAGTCTCCCACTGTGTTTTTAAAAGGGCTGTTGATCCTTATGTGACACTTCAAATAAAACTCTATTCATCTGAACAGAGAGATTTGAAGACCTTCAGCAGTTATGCTTCACATTTCTTCTTGACTGTTTCTTTTTTTTCTTTCTAGTCTGCCTGTTGCATTCTTGATGTCTTCATGAATTCTCTGATTCTTTCCTCACAAGTTTGGTTTAACCAGTTGAATAACTGAGGAACACCAAACTTTCCTCTATTAATTTTAGCATACCACAATTATCTGGAATATCACCTTTGCTGACTGCCTAATGTTTTGACTCAAAGTGCTCTATATATCTTGTCTTTTAAATTTTATTTTATTATATTGTCTTTTGGTTGAGTTTCATATCTCAAGAACATCTGAAATTTATAAGCCTAGAAACAGGAAGAAATGGCCAACTGTTATTCTATCTACTTCTAGATAGAACTGTGTCAGTTGCATACGAATCTGATTAGGGTCAACACAGAAGTCTGTTGTAATCTAGATACACTCTTGTACAAATAGGATTTTCCAAAGTTTCTTTTTCCTCTCCTGCAAAACCCTTTTGATGAGCCTTTATGACATAGGGAATTTTGGAAATTGAACTCTATCATGTGATAGGTGTGCTGGCTGAGAAGGACTCCTTTGTGCCATGCCATGCCATGCCATGCCATGCCATGCCATTCTTGAGTGTGCTCCTCCTCTCTGCAGATACAGTAAATTATGCAAAAATGAAGATGTAAGAAGGCCATTCCAGAACACAATCCCGTTTACTATATTTATACTGCTAGTTAAATCAACCTTAACCTAAATCTGCCCTGCATTCACCTACTCATTCACCTATGGGAACTCTAACTTCCTCAGAACAATTATTATTATTTAAACAATAGCATATTAGAGAGGCTGGCAGATATACAGTTTTTAAAGAACCCAGAGCAAACAAAAGGCTAAAACATATGAAGAACAGTTGCAGAAATTGGGTACGTCTAGTCTAGTGAAAAGAAAGCCTAGGGAAGACATAATATATCTGAGGGACCAATATCTGAGGGACTCCTACAAAGACAAGGGGTGTATATGTCAAACTATTTTCCAAAGCACCAGAAGCCAAGACAAGAAACAATGGATGGAAACTAACCAAGGAGAGAAGCAACCCAGGACTATTGAGAAACAATGAGAGCAATGAGAGCAATAAACCAATGGAATAGCTTGCCTCCAGAACTTGTGGATGCTCCATCCCTGGAAGTTTTTAAAGAGACTGGACAGCCATTTGTCTGGAATGGTTTTCTGTTCAAGCTGAGGGTTCAACTAGAAAACCTCCATGGTCCTTTCTAACTCTATTATTCTATGTTCTATGTTATGGTGGCAAAGAAAATTCAAAAAATGTACAAAAGAAATTGTGCATTATATTTTATTTATTCAGCTTGGGAAGCTTTTTTAGTACAAATAATTAAGGATATATTCAGCAATATATTTAACAGCAATCATAGTTTCTTCACAAGTTGGCTTTATCTGAGATTCAGGAAGAGCAAAACCATATCGGCCTTTGTCACGAAGTTCAAAGGTAAAGGAATATTGTATACCCTGGTCATAAGCCCAATCATCTGAGCCACCAGCAGCAGGATCTGTAAATAGGAAAGAATACATATGCTAAAAGAAAGAGGACAAGTTAATAGAACTGATTTTCATACATTTAATGTATGATATCAATGACTTGGCATCCTCTTGGATCTTCAGTACCCATAATTTCCAGAACATATGTCCATCTAGACGCCTACTATTCACTTGAAGAGCAAGTCTGTTTTACTTCCAACATCATTATACAGTGTATGAGACACATGAATGATTACATTTTCCACATTAATAGATAATTTTACCATACTTGATTCCTTTGTTTTTTTAATCAATCATGAAAGTTCATAAATTTAAAGTTAATGAACTAAATCAGTATAGTTCTACTTGCTTACATATCATAGTCAATGCATTATATTATGAAAAATAGGAGAAATCTCTTTTATAACACTTCTGCAAATCACATATACTGTACTCAAGAGGCCTGATAATTGAAAAGTAGGAGAATCCCTGTGTGTATACACTGTCTGTAATGGTCTAATTACAGGTTTTTATGAACAATAACCTAATCATTACCATAGTTGTATTGCTGAGAGTAATACTTACAAATTGTTGCAGCTCCTGGACCATACGTATATTCGGTACCATACAATGTTGCTAGTTCTCGAATGGCTCCTTTAGCAATAGAATTCTTTAGAGAAAAAATTAATTGTGGTAGACTGAAGAAGAACATGGGAAGAAGACTTATATTTTGGGAACTAGGTATCATATTTTTATTACTGTACTCAGCCCTTAATTCCAAGCTTCAGAGAGAATGTCTGAAATTAGAGTTCCTGCTTTTATGGAAGTTTTTGTATGTACAAATGTTTCTTCTCACAGATGTTTGTATTACACCAAGGAAGGACAGAGAGGGACATGATGCTAT